CCTGGAAGACCTTCGCCGAGATGGGGGCTGAAACCAAACAGCCACCCTAAGGGTCCATGTACCCAAATGGGTAGTTGTCAAAATTATGGTCCCTTTTGGGGTACCCTAAATAATAGGTGCCGCATTATGCTAAGGACCCAAAAAAGGACCATAATTTTGACAACCACCCAAATAGTAGATACTTTGGCCCCAAAGTACCCAAATAGGGACTACTTAAGGCCCAAAGTACCTCCTACTTGAGTACATGGACCCTTTGGGCTAGGAAAGGCCAGGGCTAAGGCAACAGGGTGGTCTCTGCCTCAAGAGAACGAAAGACTCGCGTCAGACCTCCTTTTGCCACCCTGGCCTTTCTTCTCATACCTTTGTGTTCTTTGTCGAAAGTTGCTGAGGCCGAGCAGTCAAGACCAGCCAACCGAAGAAAATGCTCCCCTGAGAACCGAAGATCATGTAAGCAAGGCTTTAGGGGTGCTGGGGTTTACGGTTTCTGGTATGACTTTCTGTCCCTATGTAGAACCTCAAGAGAAAACTGTGGAGCCATTCTTAGTACAAAGGAAGCCCGCTCGAAACATGGTTTTTCGTGCATTTCCATTCACATCTCTCTAGCACGTCGGGCTTCGAGAGAGGATTCCTCGACACCCTTAAGCCTAAACCGAAAACAAATCGTAATCCCCCTGTCCCTACCCCCTTAGGGACCAAGTGCCGAATAATCACACACTTCCCCAGCTGCTAGCCTACATTACCACTATCCGACACCATCCTAAAGAGCCTTTTTCACGTGTCCACACGCCGCCTTCGCACTCACAGGCTCACTCATCCTGTGTTCTCCTCCGTTTCAGACCTCTTCCGTTTGCCTGTCGCCGCGGCTCCCTTGAAGGTCTCCATGGCTTTAGCCTCGGTCGAGGGTAGATTCAAAACTCAATTGAGAGTTGAGCGTTTGAGATGTATGGTTCCGGGCGTAGGGTGGCTTGGTACCAGCAATAAAACACTCAACATAGCCATCTAGAGCAAGTATTCACAGAGACTAGGGCGGCAGCACAAAGAAATCGCCGTCGTCCCCACTGCAAAGAACCCAAACTCAGTTTTTGCTACGAAGAAACCTGGACGGTCAGGGTGCAGGGTTAGGCGAGAACGTACTTGGGGATGGCTCTTCTTTCTATTGCCTTTGGCTTCATGCAGCTGAGAGTGCACACTTTATGAAGCTCTGAAGCCAACTCAACGGGGCAATCCTAAACCCTAAACACAATCAACGGGGCAATCCTCAACCCTAAACACAATCAACTCCTATCCTATCCCTGATCCCTATAACTCCTGCATGCTGGCCAAAAACAAAGACCTTCCTAGCTTAAAGAAGCCACATGTTGACAATTAGCCTACAAGCCCCAAACATTAAAACAGCCAAAAGTACCACCCGGCCCCCCCTCCCGGTTTACACAAAATCCTAAAGCCCCTCAACGCGTCGAATCCGAGCCACAGCCTCCGCCTCCGGCACGCCCGCAGAGAAGAGGCCGACTCTAAGACCAATCTCGGGCCATCTCTTCCTAGGTTGGAACCCTAAACCCTAAACCCCTAAACCACCCTAAACCCTAAACACTAAACCGGTTGGCCCTTTAAAACCACAGTTTTCGACTCTCACTCGCGCAGCGGATTTTTTTTGCGTTTAGGGTTGAAGCCTTTGAAAAAGAGGTATAAATAGGATCCTCTTAGTCCCAACAAGGGAAAGCAGAAAATCTCCCAACGGCCTAGCTGGCTTCAGCAATTCGGCATAGGCGGGCAGCTTTAGCACGTCCGCTACGTGCTCCTGTTTCGTCCGGGGCTCCGTGCTTGGTCTTGGGGGTTCTTGGGGTGAGATAATTAGAACAGGCCTTGGGGGCATGCTCTACTATAAAACACTAAGGAAAGCTATGGAATACTATTGGTAGTTACTGATTGAGGCGTCTATAGTACAGGGTTCGGCACTTCTGCGACATGGCCCTTACACCTTAAACTGAATTCATTTTCCCACACGACCTCTACAAGCCAGAGATATGAAAAATAATAGTGAGAATAATAAACACAACCATAATAAGACTACAAGAATAATCATAATCGTAACAATAACAACAATATCTATCTGGTGGTAGTCGGGCTGGTCCTTGATGAATGTCAAGCAGGCACTCTCCAACTCTTTGGCTTGGAGCAGATGTGCTTCACATAGCCTTCCGGGCGTTGCGCTTGAATTATTTCTAGGGTTTACATAAGATTTTTTGCCTGGGGCCTAGGGCTTTAATTTTAGGGTAGGGTTTAAGGTTTAACGATGGTTTAATGCCTCCGGCTTCAACAACCATGGAGTCGAGTCGAGGACAAAAGTTTACGGCGCCTGGCTAGTTCTGAGGAGTTGGGGGGTTTGTTGCCAGTGTCAATATACCCCACAGATTTTGCAGAAGTCGACAAGTTCTCTTTCTGGCGGTCAAGGTTTAGGGTTTAGGGTCTAGGGTTTTAGGGTTTTGGGTCTAGGGTTTAAGGCAAGAAGCATGCCGCAAACATCCGGCAGGGAAATGTGCTTTGCCAGCTCCCTCTCGCAGCAAAGCCGAAGTCTTGTCACGTCATACCTGGGGGCTGCGCCGAGATGCGACCTTCCACTTAAATGCTTAAAAAGATACAGGAATACAGTACAATTTCGCAGAGCAGAACACAATAGAAACATCATAATACAACATAGCATGACATAGCATAGCACAACATGACACAACAAAACACATCATAGCATGCTGTAAGAAAATACGACATGCTACAGACTAGTCTAGTATAGTAGAGTAGAGTATAGTCTATAGCACTGCATAATATCAGCTGACCGCGCATATCTCTAAACAAGGAGGATGGGTTAAGGCTGATGAATGCTCGGCGACTGAGCTGAAAACTGATGGCCCATCCCTCATGCGATCATTGGACACTTCTGAAAATTAGTCGCCAAGTGAGAACTGTTGCAGCTAAGGGCTTTTGCTGTCGATTTCCATTTGTGTCGTTACCAAGGTTCCTGGGAGGCAGCAACACATCAAACACGTACCCAGATCCGAGTGTTGGGGGGGAAGTGTTGCTTCCGGTCGACCTACGCCGATACGCCTGATTGCATGCACAATCCAAAACACAACTCTGAACTCTACTCCCTCATCAAGACCCGTAACTACCTTATGCAGAAGCCATGCTGCTGCGCATTTTGAGGCTTAAGAAATTGAAGCATATGGTCATACCCGAAAACCAAACCCTAAGAGGCACGTTCTACTGAGGCAACTTATCCGATAATCTTATCACGGAATGCGCTATAAACATTCCCCCAGTCTAGCCAATTTTCAATTGGCCTTCTGAACCCTATACCTCGATGCACCTAAACACTGAACCCTAAACAGTTCCCAAGGGGCTTGTGACTCACGGCCAGCAAGGCTTGCAGCTGCGTCCCGGAGAAGCTGCCACCGTCGCCGTGGGCTTTCGACAACAACTCCTGCAATGGGCACAAGCGCTCCGACAAGCCCGGCAAGGTCTTCTCAGACGACACTGAACCAGGCAAAAGAAATTCGAGGGACTGCCAATATGCAGTATCCTGCCAACCAATTTGGAGGAGGGGCTGCAGTGCACATTCTGCGGCTGACAACCATCTTCCCTCCCCTACCGGCAACAGCACCCTTCATGGACACGCAGCTAAGGGACCCGCAAGATCAAGCAACAAAAGACCCTAAATCATGCAACAAAGCCCCTCAAACTAAAAAACGATCACGGCGCAGCGAGTTCGAGCACTCTAACCCTAAACCCTCAACTTAGGTATTTAGGGCTCTCGGCTAAACCCTAAACCCTAAACCCTAAACCCATTCGGGCTTTAGGGTTTTAGGGGCCTTTGGGATGCTAAGCTCCAGGCTTGAGGATGATTTAGGGCCCAGAGCCCGAAACCCAAAGCCGATTTTGACGGTTTGGTTAGGGTTTAGGGTTTAGGGATTAGGGATTAGGGATTAGGGTTTAGGGTTTAGGGTTTAGGGTTTAGGGTTTAGGGTTTAGGGATTACGGATTCGGGTTTCGGGATTAGGGCTTCGGGTTTAGGGTTGTACTTAGAGCTCCTTCCTCCCGAGACTTGGAACCCATAACCCTTTTTCAGCAGGCTTGTTGGTTCTCGCCCGGAGAAGCTGTTCATGTTCGCCAACAGGCGTAGACGCACTACTAAGCTCCATAACCCTAAACCCCAAGCCCAAATCTGAATCTAAAGCCTCATGAGCCAAACTCTCAGAGCCCACCAAGTACTATTTTGGGTGGGCTCCTTATTAGAATTAGAGTAAGTATGCCCCAAAACCCTATTCTTATTACTAAGGCCCCAAACCCTAAACCCTAAACCCTAAGGGTTTAGGGGTTCAGGGACCTCCGAGCCCCAAGACTCACGGGTACAGCCTTGCTCACACTCCGTTTGTTTACAAAGTCAGGGTTTAGGTATTTGGGTGGGTTTAGGGTTTAGGGTTTAGGGTTTAGGGTTTAGGGCTTCCGGGTTTAGGGTTTAGGGTTTAGGGTTTAGGGTTATCAAAATTAGGGTCCCTTTTTGGGGTCATTATTATAATACGGCACCTATTATTTAGGGTACCCCAACAGGGACCAGAATTTTGACAACTACCCATTTGGGTTTAGGGTTTACTTAATGTTAGTTCAAAGCCTTTTTGCGTCCAGGTCTCTAGTGACTCTAGTGACACTGAATCCCCAAAGCGAACTCCTCAAGCCACGGATTCTTTGACTCCAAGGCACATCTATGCAACCGAGGTCGTCGGTGTAGAGGTAGTGCAGGAGAGTTTTGAAGCTGGCCGGATCACAATCTTCCTGGGCTGAGGTCTTTGTGATCTGAAGTGCTCACACGTTTTTTTGCGCTGGGCTTTGAAGCAACCAAAGAGAAAAAATGTAAACGTTTATTTTATCCGGGTTCCTGTGAGGAACAGGTGCCAAAAAGGGATGTTTGGGGCATGAGCGTTCAGGTTTTTGGATCTCCGGCTAGAGAGTGCTGGGATCAAGGAGTGGTGGGATTCACGGTTCAAAGGTTCAGGGTTATAGGGCTGAGTGTAGGATGAAGGTGCGAAGGCTTGAACATGACATCATGAAGGTGTTTCAGTCTGGGGGGCTATCATGTTGAAACAACCGAGGCTTGGTCTCGAGGTGTTCGGGGTGGATTCTCAACCCTTTAAGGCACCAGGGTGTGTGGTTTGTAGCGTCGGGGGGAGGGTTGTGCGGGCAACGAAAGCATGACCTGGTCGAGCTACAGGCCTTACTCGTTATCATTAGAACGAGAGTTGCTACAGCTTTATTTCAGCCTCTGTAGTAAATCTCCCAAACGAGCGACTTCTTCTTCGCATTTGTCCCACAGGTCTTGTGTGACTGTCGACGTATTCGGCGGTGGCGCTGGTGGGCCCGAAGTCTCTGTCACCTCGACGATGACCGGGGTGGATGACGGTGAGTCTAACCATCTCCGGGCCGGTGACATAGGTCGTCGTGTTCCGCTCGATGTTGCACCTCCCGTGACCGTCTCCTCTACATCGCCTTGGCGGAAAGAGGTTCTGGTTGGTCGGGAGCCCGAAGCTGGGGACCGACGAGGCATCGGATTCGGTCTCCATGGGGTTGCCGTCGAAGTAATTTCTGGTTGTCTTGCTCGATGTCGCATCGGCGGGACGTGCAGGAGGAAAGTTGCTTCGGGGTCTGGGCGGAGTGGAAGATCTCGGCGTCGGTGGAGTCTGTGCTCGGGTTCGGTCGTACCACTGGGCTGGTTGTCGATGAAAGGGTCGTGGTGACAGACCGCGTCTCGGCGAAGCTCCTCGTCCGCGGGCTGCAGGAGAATGTGCTCTGAA